ATAAACTCAGCTATGTGAGGTTACAGTGACAGTGCTTCTCTGTGTTTCTTACGCTAGCCGGCCTCATCACACATCTGATCTTTGGGGGGAATTCTGTGAAATTTGGCTGCTTCCTGTGGCTGGCTCTCTCCCCTCCTCTGTAATTAGATTTCAGCTTCCCCCCTCTGCCATCTTCTAGAATTTAAGGGGTATCTCTCACCTGCTGTTTCCTCTCATTTCTTTTATTTTCTGTTTTCTATGAATTGATTCCACGTATCCTTCTGTTACTCCTTTTTTTTTTAAGTGGGGTTTCTGGGTGGAGAGGAGCGGCGTGTCTGCAGTCTGCCCTCTCTGGCTACCGCAGGCATTCTTTTCATCGTTCATCTTCAGCCTAGTCTGGGAGTCATTTGTGCTAAAATGTCTAAGGAAATTAGGCACCTCCTTCTCCATGTCAATCCGTGCCCCCCCATTCACTCCACGGTTAACATGTCCCCATCCCCAAAGCGCAGCCACTACCGCCCCGAGTCCCAGGCTAGCCCTGGCCATTCTACTTTCCAGGCCTTCCCACACTGAGCCTGGGGGCAGGTGATAAGATCTCTAGTGCTTGTGCAACTCCATGTGCTGAGACAGAATTGTGTCCCCTCAAGATTCATGTGTTGACGCTCTCAACCCCAGCTGGGCTCTGTTTGGAGCCAGGAAGAAATTAAAAGTCAAACGAGGTTATAAGGGTGCAGCCCTGATGGACAGGTTTAGGGTCCTGCAGGGGGGAGCGCACGGCTCTCTTCCTGCTCTTCTCCTCCCTCCCCCTCTCGCCCTCCCTCATTGCCTCCGCTGTCTCTTTCCCTCTGCTTGTCCCTCCCATTTTGTTTCTACCTCCCTCCTGTCCCTTCTTTGTCTCTCTCTCCTTCCCTCTCTTCTCTCTGATCCCGCCCCTTCATCTCTCTAACATATGACTTAACCATACATGCTAGTTTAGCTGATTGTCTGCACCCACAACTCAGAGGCACTTGCCACACGATTTGTATTCCTCTTACCCAGCGCATGGCTCCTGAAGCCTGCTAGTTACTGCTACGTCTCCCCTCCTGCACACAAGTTGCCAGTGTTTCTGAAGAAACCTGCAAGGTCCTAATGCCCTAAGCTCAACATGTTGAGGGTTCCTGGGTGATAAAATTTTGAGTGATATTTTAATAGCTATGAATGGTAGGCAAGAAAGCCTTGGAGAGAATCCAGCCCCTTCTGCTGGGTAAGAGCATGCCCAGGTTGTCATGGTGACGGTAATCCCAAAACAGAAAAAAATGAAACCGCTCTCTGAAATCTCAGCAGATGCAAATTTTGTGTACCTGGTCAAAGTTATCTTTATAGATCGCTGTCTCCCGGATTATTTCAGAAAGGCGGAGCCTTAGCTGGTAACAAGTATATGATTATTCGTTCGCACCCCCTGAGGAGGTGGGGAGAAGCTGGAGGAGACTAGACCGCACCCTACAGAAAGAATTGTGTCTTTATTCTTTGGGGGGAGAAAGAAAATACTCCTGCATAAAACTTGATGTAATAGAAATGACCTGAAGGCACAGACATTTTAAAGCACAATAAACTAAAGAACTTTGATTCACAAGCTTTGGTGGCTTAAAGCTCTCTGTGAATGTTCCTACTATTTATAATCCCACACTTAGTTGCCAGACATTCCCTAAGAATGTAAACCTCCTCCTAAAATTTAATTTTATAGGATTTCATGAAAAACCATTTCACAATGGAGAAAAAACTTAAGGCCCACAGTCTGAAATCAACCAGCTCTTTTGTGTGTCTAAGTAAAATTCAAATGCCTTCAGGAGCCTGGTTAAGAGTAGCCAATTAGAAAAGACTGCTAAAAATTTGATTGTGTAATTTCACTAATCACTGATTTGTTCTTCAGAATAAAACCCATGATTACAACTAGGTTTCTCTTCTGTAAGGAGTGCACTTCCAGAAGATTTTAATCAAGACTGGCAGAGTCACTGTTTCTTAGAGACTGAAGGAGAATGGTTAGAAAAATTCGCTTGTGATAGAGCTTTCTTACAAGCCATTGCTAACCTATACGGGTTTTCAAAAGATGACCATGCAACTTGGCTTTCCTTCCTTGGATGTGCTTTGTGCAGTTTCACATATAAAGTGTGTGCACTTGTGTGTGTCGGGGAGAAAGGTGTATCTTATAGTAAGTTACTCTTTGAGAAAATGCTTTTACCCATGAACTCACTTCGGGGTCCTTGTGCCCTGCGAGCTGCACCTGTGCTGTGAACACCTTTTCCTCCATTCAGGCTTTATTGACTTATTAACAGAAGGTTTTTAGCCATCAGGGTTCGGTGGGTTTTTAGCTTCTGTCCTTCTATCTGCCTCGAGTGTGTTTCTGGTTATTTCTTTTCTTTTTCTTTTTCTTTTTTTTTAAAGATTTATTTATTTATTTATACAAGCACTGGGTACAGTCAGAAGTGCGGGAGTGTGAGATAATTCACCAGAGCCAGAGCGGGGAGCAGAGCAGGCAGAAGGACCGAAGTACACTGCTGAGGGGAGCAGCGGGCGGCAGGAGAGGTCTGCGTGCCGTGTGGGACCTCCTCCGGTGGCCGGGGAGCAGCCGGGGATCGAACTGGCGCCACAGAGGCTGCGGGCAGCTTCGCAACCCAGTGCTCAACCGCTGCACCACCGGGGAGGCCCGTTTCTGGTTATTTCTGTGATTTTCATTTTATGCCTTTTCCCCCTCCAGCAGACAGGGAAAAGAGCTCTTTGTGCTGAGAAATGGTAGCAAACATTCTGTGCTCACACTCGATACCTGGGTGGGGGGTTCCTGGGAACGCTTCACTTGACCTGGGTTCTACCCCTCGATTTTTTTTCTGTGATCTCATGTAAAAAACAAAAAGCTGCTTTCTTTTCTTCTTCTTAAAAAGAGTTTAAACAGATTCTATTGTGAGTAACCCTCTCCAGCCATTCATAGCCGTGAACTCCATCCTGGCTGACTTTGTCTTTTTGTTTTGCGTTTTCTTCTTTGTGGTTGGATATACACAGCATAGCATTTGCCATGTCTAAATTACAGTTCGGTGGCCTTAAATACGTTCACAGAGTGTCATGCATGCATCACTGCTGTGCTGTGCGTGTGCTAGTGGGTGATAGGATTTTAAACAATTACTTTTTTTTTAAGTTATGCATACACGAACTGGGGTATGGGCCAGAGGTGCAGGGGGAGAGAGGATTCACCAGAGACAGAGCGGGGAACAAAACAGGCAGATCTACTGAAATACACTGCTGAGGGGAGCAGCAGGGAGACAGGAGAGGTCTTCTGAGCCATGTGGGTCACCTCCCTGGCCGAGGATCAAACTCGTGCTACAGTGGATGTGGATAGCTTCAGAGTGCTGCGTCTTAACCCTTTGTGCCACCAGGGAAGCCCCTTTTAGTGTGAAGTTCAAAAAATTCGTTGGAGACCAGTGCAGACATGAGGTTGCAGGTGGATGTAGCACATAAATCTGCTGCAGGATAGAAGGGAGGGTTCATTTTTCTTTAAGTTTGAGGACAAAACTCTTCGTGCCTACCATCTCTGGGATGTGTTCTCTAGAACAGCCTTTAGCCCTTGGTGCATTGCTTCATCCAGAAAGTTCTACACCAGCCCCTAAAGAAAGGTCATAGGATCCCTGACCATTGGTGCCACTGCCTGGAAGCTCTGTGGGTTATAGCTCCCTGTTCACATTGGATGCTGAGTCTCTGCCGAGCCTGCGACGGTGCCATTTATCCATGAAATGGCCGTGGAGTGGCTGCGAGGTGACGTTTAGATTGTCGTAAATACCATGTAGCGATACTATGTGCTGGCTCTCCTTATGCCCCGATTGTAACCAGCATTCCCAGGGGAACTCATGCAATGCTTTATAGGCATCTATTTCGTGGATGGATTACAGGGCCTGTCATATCCTTCAAACTCTCCATTGAATTCTCTGTAGATAAGAATTTGGCATCATAGACTAGTCATTTTGTATAAAGGGTTTGTACAGAATAATAAAATTTATGGAATGTAAGAATTGACACCAGCTTTAGAGCATGTATGTATTACAGTCCAGCATCTTTTATTACCAAATGTGTTCAGGGCCTTGGCAAACATCTCGGCCAGTTCCCGTGCTGACTGTGCCTCTCCTGCATTCCATGTGGTGCTGAGCCGAATTCCAGCATGTCCGTTGAGACATCCACTGTATGTTGATTTTTTACTTGTTTAGACTCCCAGCCTTGGTTTGTAAAGTCTCACTTCCCAGATTCTGTAAATCTAGTTGAAGTTATCAAATTCACTTTGCTCCAGGAATTCCAGGGAAACGTGAGTGCCTGCCAGCTGGTCAGATAATTGGTGGTTCGTTTGTAACAAGAAGGAAATGCGGAGAATTGTGAGAAAGGATAGTGAAACTGGAGTGTGATCTTCTCTTTAAAGCATCTGATGATGTAGGAATTCTTCCACTCTCCTTATCCCCTGACCTACTTTTATGATGTTCTTATTAATGGCTGCAGATTTCCTGGACAGAGACAAGGGCTGTAGTTATTCTCAAAGCCCTTTGAAGCCAGGAGTGAGAACATGGACCCAGGGCCCATGTTGGATAAATACCCACAAGTGAGATAAATAGATCGTCTTTCATTTCTACTTTCAGTTTTTTGAGAACTCTCCACCTCGCAATCCCTAATGGCTGTACCGATTTGTAGTCCACCTGCAGTGTACAAGGGAGAAGTAAACTTGCTATGGACCATTTAAAAATTGTTCTAGCAATTAAAGTCTATTATTTTAAAATGGAGGTGGGTTCTTCCAGGGCCAGCCGTGGGGAGAAGTGACCGAGATTATCAGCCGAGTGTGAGAACAGCATAAGGCCCAGAGGCACGCCGGGGGCTGGTGGTCTCGGCCGCGGGTGTGGGTCATGGGCGGCAATGCCTGGAAGTCTCCGGAGGCGGGAATGAAGAGGCGTACTGGGGTGTCTATCGCCTTTGCTGCCTGTCCCAGAGGGTGTAACTTCTGCTCTTTCTGTTCCCAGCAAAGAGCTCCAGGAAAAGTGTTGCTGGATGCGGTTTGCAACCACCTCAACCTCGTGGAGGGGGACTATTTTGGCCTCGAGTTTCCTGACCACAAGAAGATCACGGTAGGTGACCGCAAATTAATGTTGCCATTTGATCCTCTGTTGGACTTGGAAGAAGGGAGTCCTTCTCCCAAGAAAAGGGGAGAAGGTTAAGTTAAGGGGAAAAAGGAAAGTTAAGAAAAGGTACCAAAAGCTAAGAAAAGGGGTACCCCTACCTGTTTTTGAAAGTAACAGGTGCAGGGCCTCCCCGGTGGTGCAGCGGTTGAGCGCTGGGTTGCGAAGCTGCCCGCAGCCTCTGCGGTGCTGGTTCGATCCCCGGCTGCTCCCCGGCCACCAGAGGAGGGTCCCACATGGCGCGCAGACCTCTCCTGCCGCCCGCTGCTCCCCTCAGCAGTGTACTTCATCAGTCTGCCTGCTCTGCTCCTGGCTCTGGCTCTGGTGAATTCTCTCACCCTCCCGCGCTTCTGACTATACCCAGTGCTTGTATTAATTAATTAATTAATTAATTAAGATTAATTAATTAATCTTAAAAAAAGAATGAAAGTAACAGGTGCATTTCAGGTACACATTCAAGCAGAATGTGCATGGAGACTCCTGCACCTTCCCCCCCACCTCTCCCTCCAGGAGCCACCATCACCAGCTTTGTGATAAAAGGCTGCATACACGTATGTGCAAACACATGTGCTGGAAAAACAGGAAGGCAAGGAAACAAGAATCAGTGTCCTACGCCCCCGGTCCCCCGATAAATGCATCCCGGAGACCTTTCTTTTTCTGCTTGTAGAATCCACTTCTCTCCCACAGCTCATGCTGCCCTGCTGCAAGGGTATGCCACTATCTGTAACCTCCATTGGGAAGGTGGGCTCCTTGGGTGCTTCTGGATCTTTTGCCACTGCAAATAATGCTGCAGTGAACATGCTGGTACATTCTAGATCATGTTTGCACTTAGGACCAAGTGTGTCAGTTTTCAGAACCATTCCTTATGAAGGGGCTCAGCCTTTTTAAGTGGACAGTTTTTTAAAGGTTTCACTCATTCGAACGCAACATTTAAAGCACAGTGAACAGTGACTGTCTTCTTCACCACGCTTTAGGCTGCAAGTTCCCTGACTGCAATTCAGTTTGTTCTTTCATGGAGTGTACACCCTGGACTTTGGCTTTATGAGCCCCTGCACTGAGAATCCAAAAACAGTAAGATACAGAGAATGTTTGACCCAGGTGGGGCGTCAGGTCTCCAGTCAGCAGCCAGGCAAGGCGTGTAATATAGTCTGCAGAGCCCGCAGGCATCAGGCAGTGGAGACAAAAACCACATTTAGGATCCCCCAAATTGCAGAAGGAGGTGACTGAATAGTAAGAATGTTCTAGAGTGAGGGGACACCCCACATACAGAGATTAGAATGTGGAGTATTCATATATCTGCAAGTCAGGCTGGAGTGGAGAGACCCGGAGGGCAGTGGTGACACAGGTGAGAGACGGAAAGTCGGGAGGTGAGCAGGGAGCCAGGTCTCGCAGCACTTGCTACACCATGGGCTTCCCATCTGAATAGAACAGGAGCGCGTGTGTCAGTTCAGACTCCTAGGAGTTATGTCACAAGGTGATTTTAAAAGTGACATTCATTTAGAAATAAATTTTATTTAATCTGAAATACCCCAAAACATCACTTTGACATGTAGCCATCTCAACGGCTAGGACTAGGGTATTTTTCATTCTTTTCACATGAGGTCTCAGACTCTGCTGTGCATTCGGCATTCACAGCCCCTCTCAGTTCAGTTCATACCCCCCCCCCCGTTTGGGGACTATGGATACATTTTAAAGGGGATTTAGAGGAGCTCATTTATGGCTTAGAAAGGAAACAGTGACCTGTCAGGGACAGGATGAGACTAGAGTCGGGGAAGTCACCAGAGATTTGCAGCCCCAGCAAGAACGATGCTGCTGGAATTGGGGTGAGTTGAGGGGTGCTAGGAGAAGGTGGACGAACGCTGAAGTTCGGGGGTAGCCGGGAATATGAGTGAGGGGCTGGTGAGTGGGGCAGGTTCAGAGCAGCTTGGCTTTCTGGCTTCTCCACCCAGGAGACACCGGTTCCAGTCACTGGAGAGGCCAAGGCCCTCTCCAGAGGATGTGGTGCTGGTGAGTCCATCCCAGATATGAGGACTTGGGCAGCAGTGGACATCCTGGTCAGGACGCCCTTGGGCAGCACCCTTAGATGCATTTCCAGAAGGTAGCAAGGAGATCAGAAGTGAAGTTCGGATTCAAGAATCATCAACTAAACAGCAGTGGGCACGCTGAGCCTGGATGAGAGGCAGCCAGGGGAAGACAGCATTGAAGGGGTGGACAGAGAAGAAGCACCTGCAAATGTGGGGCAGGTAGAGAGGTGCATACCCACAACAGAACCAGGAGGGGCAGACTGTGGGAGAGGCGGTCCATGCGAATCTGTCACACACCTGCAAATGGGTGCAGATGATGTCCTTGACTCATTCCTGCCTCCAAGCCCCCTGGGCCATGTTCTTTGCTGGTGTTAAGTCTCAGCACCCACCTCCCAATCATGGTGCTGACATGGCAGACGACCACACACTTACCTAATTCCACATTCACAAATGCATCCCACAGCGACTGTGAGCCTGCACTGGGTCAGGTGACACTTCATACTATGGAAGACACTTGCTAAAAGTGACAGAAATAACAGGTAGTGACTCCCACTCATTAGAAGTGAGCAGCTTAGTCAGACGCAACACAGAACACGGCCCACAAGCCCTGGATCTTGTCTCCCTCTGTGTATTATGTTAAAATAGTGATTCTCCTAACACTGGGAGATGCTGTCTCTGGTTTCTAACCACCCTGCCTGAACTACTGCAAGGTCGTGAGGACTTTTCCAGGCCCCTTTCCCTCTTCCGGTCGTTGGAGTTTGGCTTCCTAAAGTGTAAACTAGCAGCCACCAGACCATTGAGAAGCGCTCTGAGAAGCGCTCCCTGTCCAGCTCTGTCCAGCTCTACCAGCTGCTGACAGCACAGCCAGATTCTCAGCATATTCTGTTGACCCAAGTTCAATGTCTTTGGATTAACAACGAGCATTCCTCCTCTGCTTAAATTTTAGGAGCCTCTTAGTCTTCCTCGGTCATTCAAGGTCTGACTTCTTTTAGTTTTTATAGGCCTTGATCTTTCATGATTTTACAACTTCCTTATATTGTTTGGGAATACGTTCAAAGGCAAAGTACGGAAAAGCCATCTATGATAAAGGATTTGGGTTTATTTGTTATGCCTTATCCCAGTGAAAGTCACCATGTGAGTGTTTCCCAGGTGCCAGAATGTTCTAGGCTCTGTGACACAGCAGTGAACATGACCCACTTTTGAGAGCCAGCATCAGCAAACTTCTCAGTGAGGGGCCTGTAGGAAATGCTGAGTCCAGCTTTGCAGGTGAAGTCTCTGCTGCAGCTCTTCAATCTGCCCTGAAATGCAGAGCAGACGAACGGAAGCGAACTAACACCTGCTCCAGAGAGTAATGTGTGACTCAGCTCCAGCCCAGCATCCGGCTTCCTCCCAGTATTCTTTCCAGAAAGGCCTTTTCTCTTTCCTTTGTCTGATAAAGCTCTGCCTTAAAGAGGTGGCCATGTTTACCTAGTTCCTCAGCTCGGAAGTCACAGAGCCAGGATTCCAGTTCAGATCTGTCTAAACACCACTGTGCTCTTGGTCCCCTTCTACTCCGACCATCTCTCTCTGTCAGTCAGAGTCCCCACCTGAGACCTGAGTTCCTAGACCTTAAAAAGTAAATTGTTTGGATGGAATTGGTCTGTGATGATAGAGGGCGTGGGGAAGCCACCAAGAGGGTGCAGGAGAACTTACTGGGTTTGGCCACGTTTGTTCCTTGATCTCAGTGCTGGTTCCATGGGTGTAGTCAGTTTGTAAAAATTCAGTGAGCTGTACTCTCATGTGCACATTTGTGTATTCCATAAAAGTTGCCCCCCAAAATGCAATGTAGAAGCACGCAGGCTCCAAGGTGGGTCACAGGACCTACATAGGGAACATCAAGGACAAGTCTTTGTGGGACAACTTGGGCTGTATCCTCAGATGCGCCCAGACAGGCTGCTTATAAATCTAAGCTTTGTGCCCTGTGTTTTTGTCTCTTTCCCTGATTCTATAGAAATGCTGATGTCTAGCCAGGTGTTATATTGTAGAGCAGATGAACAAGCTCAGAGGCTGGTACCAAAATACCCCTCTCCTTCTTAACAGCAGGAGGACTGGGCAGGTGGCTGGCCTTCTGAGCCTCACTTTGCTCCTGGGAAAAATAGGGTGATAGTGCCCACCTCATGGGGTCTTGAAAAGATCAAACAGGACGATATATACAACATGTAGTCCAGTGTCTGGGGCCTATCCAAGTGCTCAGAAAGTACTAGTCATGGAAGCTGAGATCGTCACTGCCATCGTTTTTTTACTGTGGTCAAAAGCACAGACCGTCACATTTGCTCCCTTCACCATTCTGGAGTGGCTCAGACAGCAGGGTTAACTCTGATTACAATGTCGCAAGTCTCTGGAACTTCCATTTTGCAAAATGGAAACTCTGTGCCATTAAACTGCAGTTCACTGTTCCTGCTCTTCCCGGCCCTGGCACCCACCATCTGACTTTCTACCCTTGACCCCAAGTGCCCCATTTGAGTGGGATCATACAGTTCTTGCTCTCTCTCTTACTCCCTCATGTCACTCATCATGTCCTCAAGGACATCACGTGATAACATGAGAGGCTTGCTGCCTTTTGGGGGCTGAGTAGTATTCCACCGAGTAGTGGACATACTACAGTTTGCCTTTCCATTCAGCTGTTGATGCCATTTAAGTTGCTTCCACCCTTGGTGGTTGTGAATAGTGCTCTATGAATAGTGGGTGTGTCCTTGCTGTTTTTCAGTGCCCCTACATTACCTTTGCCAGTCTTCTTTGGAAGGCTACTCACTTGTCTGTTAAACTAGGAGGACCCTGGGTCTCAAGATGCCCAAACAAGGGGCCGTCACACTGGGGTAGCCCATTTATTCATGACTCATGGGCATCTAGCTGTCCCCAAAGTCCTTGGAATGCAAGGCTGTGCAC